TATACCGTAATCTCTTGCTTGCCCGATCACAATACGATCCTTGAAGTGGAGTAACATCACCATAAAAGCTATAAATCCGATACCATGCCTTCGAAAACGGTGTTGGAATGTATAAATCCAATCAACAAGTATTTTCAACACGGATCAACATGCGTTATATAGGGTACCAGGTCATATGAGGATTAGTAGTAACGAGACACCGAACGCTCTCGCCAAGACAGCAACAGTAAACTTTGACAATCCAGTGCCGCCAAATGCATCACGTCTAGAGTTAAAGACATGGGCGTGGGACCTGAAGACGTAGGGCCAGCTGGGCCTACAAGCTTATATGTACTAGATAGGATATGCAGGGCATGCTGGGAAGATGATGAAACGTTGGACCATTCTCTTTATCAATGCCCTGCGTTTGCAAATATCAGAATCCAATTCTTAGAGAACGACTACATTCCAGACCTTAATCAGATCATGTTAAATGGAATAAAACAGATTTGGGATTTTGTAAAGGCAACTGAATTTCTAATCTTACAGAAATTCTGTTGCCTTCTTTCAATAATTTCTTAGTCTAGAGCCCACAACAGACAAATACTGGCTTAAGGGTATGTCCATCAGGACATGTGGTGACTGTTTCGCCCCTCAACCTAAATTCGGGAAATTTGCCACAGAATATTATGTCACAAATGTCTGCAAAAATTCTGTCCCAAATAGTTCAGCAAATATTGCCCCAACACAACGTCACTTTAGGAGGTTTAGCTGTACGATGGGAACCGAAGTCGGCATTTGTCCATTGCAAGCCCGTTTAAATGGCGGAAGAAATTTTAGCCAGGTAGATCTTAATTTATTGCAACAATTTCAGTGCACAAAAACACACAAACTGTTTCCGATTTCCTAGCCCTCACCAGTTTTTCCTTATTGCTGGAGACATATTCTTTACCAGGGTGGCAAGGGGCAAAAAACGAGACTAAGACCTTCGATATGACAATAGATTAGTTAAAACAAGCTTCCTCACCCCCAAAATCTGACAGAATTTTAAATTGTTATACCTCTTGCGACAGATTATGTTATATACAGGTCCACTTTTCCTTACTGCTTCCATATAACAAGTTCCTCCCGATATTCGGTATTTTGACTATTTTAGTCACATTTTCTAAGGGAATTGTTTAAGTTTCGGCACAAAAAGATTTTAATTGGTTCTACCTCCTGTGGCAGAATATTGCCTATGCGGGTAAATGTTTTCACTTAGCCTCCATAGAACAGTACCTCTCGATATTCGGTATTCTGATGATTTTAGCTACATTTTTCAGCGGAGTGGTTTAAAATTGTTTGTAATGGGTTCTGTTTTCGGTGACCGAAGACCTACGATTTCTTATATTACCCATACATCCTCCGAATATTCAGAATTTGCAATAGATAGATTTGCATCCACTGTAGCAGGAAGTCGGTACCATCGACTTTACGGTAAGACTCATTACGAACTAATTTCACTGACAAAAGTGGACGTGGATCCAATATTAAACGTTTTTATATCATATGCCACACTGCGGTAGAGGGAGTTAAGTCCTTGTGCACATGCACAACAAAAGGAGTTCCTTTCGATGATATCCATAGTATCACATTCTGAGTTGATTTATGTTCATGTATTTTTCTAGGCAGAGTACAAGTACCATTTCGATTGTCACATATAATTTGTTTTTCTCAAGAACGAATGCTATTTGGTGTAAATCCTGACATATTTATATATATATATATATATATATATATATATATATATATATATATATATATATATTATCCGATTTGTCATTTAAGTCCCCCAAAAGACGTACTCTGCATGCCATATTTCATATTAATAATATTTAGTACAAGATACAAAGGCAGAAGTATTAAGATGGGATAAAACAGAGTCAAAATATTGTCACCAAGTTGAATTATCTCCGTTGTCCACTTCTTCTGGTACCTGCCCCCGCAAAAGGTCGAAATTTTCAAAAAAATATTCCATTCAGACTTGGTGCATCTCAATATTTCCAGCAATACAAGATCTGTTATAAAGATGGTAGAGATCGGACCATTTCCTCTGGTACCTCTCCCACAAAGTGTCAACGTTTTGAATAACCAAAACGATAATAAAATCCGAAATAAACATTCGTTTCTCTTCATATTTCACACATCCCATTATTTTTACTAGCATGATGGGATATATCGGCCCACTCCTTCTGGTACCTCCCCCACAAAGGGTCAACATTTTGAATATCCACGAAGCTTATAAAACGCGAAATTAACATCTGATTCCTTTCGGACTTGGTACATCTCAATATTTTCATCAACACAAGATCGTACAATTTCTTCTGGTAACTCCCCCACATAGGGTTCAAGATTTTGAAAAACAAAACTCAAAGAAATAGAAATAAGCATCCAACTCCCTTCAAATTTCATACAAAAAAACATTTTTGCAAACAGATGATATATGTATGCGCACCCCAACTGGTACTTCACCCACAAAGGGTTACAATTTTCAATACCTCTATCTGTCATAACATGAAACCAGAAACCTGAGATTAATATGGAATTTATGATTTCACATAAAATAGGATATAAATGTTCGAATTTCTTGTAATTTTGCCCATACCAATATTTTTATCAGTATTAGATGAAGTGTACTTCTGGTACCTTACGCACATTCTAACATTTTCCACAAATTATCACAGATCGTATAAATATAATTTTAAAGAAGTAACCAATATAGTCCAAACCTGGCACGACGCAATATCTATATCATATTTATTTATCTCCGATAGGAAATTGACAATATTGGCCTATTTCTTTGGAACCTACTCCATAGAGGGCCAACAAATTGAATAATATTAACAGAAGTTTAAATACATTTAAAGAATCGAACAATCGAAGTTGTATTTCTGTTATTAGCATGACCATGCCGTGAGCTGTGAGCTACATATTTTAGCCACACACCATTATATAAAAAAAATATATTTTGTCAAGTCTTTACCTATTTGTGTCTTCGCAAGACACACAATTGTCAAAGTTTATCGAAATCGGTTCAGATTTGAATGTTGCACACACATATATATCTATTATACACCAACTACACTACTTTCGTCCAATTATAAAGTTCTGACTAGAAAAAGTCAAAAAATATGTACAAAGTTGGTTCAGATATAGCTTAACCTCCGATATATGCTTCACCCTATTTCACATGCAAAGCATGTTATGCTATTACATGCACCGTAACCGTTTTGTACTCGTTTTAAAAAGGTAGGAGGCGTAAATTATAGAAGGAACTTTGATATTTGGAAATATTTAAAATGACGCAATTTAGTTTTTTGATTCCTAAATGAAAAAGGTTTCAAGCCTACTCCGGTACTTTCTTATTTGTATATGGCTTTTCTTGTTTGTTCGTTTTCATTCAAAGGATTTCCAAATACCATGAACACATGCTTGCAGAGGTCCATCTGTATGTATGTATATCTATTATAATGTCCATGTATTGGACATGACTAAAGAATTTGTAAAAAAAATCTTGTGGAAGCAAATTGTAAATAATTCCCCCATTCAAAAAGATTAACATTTAAATTATGGCTTTCGTTATTAGCCAACCATCATCCGCGGCACACCCGCGTGTCAAGCAACGAGCAGAAGATAACACTCATGTTTATGCGAATGCTGAGGATACATAGCTAGGTTATACAGAATGAGGGGATGTTCATACACATTCATAATTTTTCATTATATAATAATTGTATAATTAGTAAAAAAAAAAAGAAAAACAATGAATTCGTGGATAAACGTGCTTTGCCGAATTCTGGATAGATAGGTGAGGTCAAGTTGTCCGTGAGTGTTATGCAAACATGTGATTTATGTAAAAACACAAAAACTGTGCAAATGACATTGATGTCTATGAAACAACCTGCATTTCTTTAGTTCGCTTACACGGAACGGACGATGTTTATGTATTTGTCAAGCATCAACACACTAACTCACAGTGGACAGGAGAATACGGTTAAAAAGGAAAAGCATTTCTTGAGCAATGCCAGTTTGTGAACCTATGTGTATGGGTGTTGGTGTACTCGTGTGTGACTGTATGTGTTGGAATTTAGTGTTTCTGTATACGCGATAGTGGTCGTACTCAATGAAATGTATCTTTTTACATTTCTGTAAATCGTTTTCTTGTGCTTTCTTAGTATTTCGTTCTTTATCATTGTTTGCTTTTGTGTTCGTTTGTTCGACCATTAGTTCATGTTATCTATATACGTACATGTGTATGTCCTTTTAACACTCTTACATATGCGGCTGACACACTGACATTTCTATTCTGGGTGGGTTCGAAATTGTGTTTTCCTTTCGTTGTCTTCTCTTCTCGTCTCTTCTTCTATACATTTCGTTTCTTTTGCACTTTTCTTCAAATTGATATTGATTTGTAATTTAATGTTGGTTTCGGCCTTTTTGTTCCTTCCATTGTCAGACAATTCAAGAAGTGTGTCCCCATTTATAGTGCATGGTCTGATCCACACTCGAACAAACATAGGCATACTCTTTCATCGTCCACCAATAGAAGGCTATGCATTTATTTTACAATTAACCAATATTCACAGTGTACATACAAAATAGGAATACACATACACGCGCATAAATTCACTGGGCGGTTAGTGGGGAGGACTCCGTGTAAACATATCCAGCCATTGAAAAGGCCAATCATTAATGCTCGTACCCGCACCTATACTTATATGTGTGTAACATTCTTTAGAAACTCAAGCACTGCATATACATCAATAACGGGACGGGTAAGGAAATTTCCTCATATTCTATATGACAATAAGTATTTTCCAACAAAAAAAAACATGTACAACTTAAATTTTTTTCATACTGATATACTTTTGTTTTCAGTGATATCTTTTTTCCATTTGACTTAAATTCCTCCACTTTAAAATGACCCACTTCAACTTTTTCTTTTGTACATATATAATTTATTTGTTCAGAACGATACACACTTTGTTAATTTTTAAAACAATTTACTCCTTTTATATTTTCTTTAAATCATCATAGGCAATAATTTGCAAAACTTCAGCATAGAGGTTTAACGATTTTTCCTTAGAAAGTATTATTGGTTTTTTGTTATATGATTTATTTTTCTTTTTTATGTATATATCTATTGTTGTTGGCTTTTTCTTTTAACATTTCATTGTTTTCTTTGAAACGATTCTTCGAAATCCACTCTTGGCTGCGTATAGTTTGGCACTGATTGCTAGCTTAAAAAAATTAACTGGAGAACTACATCTTCCTATTAGGGTAACGACGAAATTCATTGCAGGAGACACGACATGTTCTCTTTTCCTCTTCAGAGTGGTGATTTTGTTCTAAATAAAATAAAACTTCTCTACGGCCAGAGACTACGTCGTCAACAACAAAGACGAAAATGCTCAAAGCCAACCGTTAATACAATGAGTGGCTGGCTGTTTGACAGCACAGACAACGTATAACAAAGAAAATCTCGGGTGTTCTACCAGAAACCTTCTCAGCTTGTATGTGGAAATTGCCAAAGGACTTCACTATGACGCTTTTGAGATGCGCATGAGTGCTACTAACCGCACCAGAACTCACACCCGCACACACGAAACAACATATAGCCGCACTGATTTTGTTTCAGCGTTCCGCTATCAGCAAACATAATGAATACACATACAAAGGTGTGCATTAATACAGCTGATGAGAGTGATTGGCTTCGGAGCACGTGATTGTCTTTTATTTACCAAATCAGCTTTGTCTTCGAGACAATGGTTGTTTACACACTCAAACGAGTATTATAATTTAATTAATCTATTACAAACGAGTATCCTCCCGAGAAACAACAATGTCGGCTCTGCAGGTCCCCAGTGGTGAGATTCGATAAAATCTCTGCACAGTCATCTGCGCTAAAGCCAAGTGCAGGTGTGAATACACATGTCTATACGTACCAATATTATAAAATAAATGTTAGTAGTAAGTAGATAAAGGTGAAAATACTTGAGTCGCACTTTAAATGTTACAATGTAAATGTTATTAACCCACTAAACGAAGTTTGATTTGACGAAAAACATCCAAAATAAAAAGGAAACGAAGGCAGTCTCATGAAGTCGACTTGATATATATATATATATATATATATATATATATATATACTAGCTGGCCCGGTCCGCGTTGGCGGCCCGTAGTTTTTGTCTATTATGCATATTTGTCAAAGCATAATTATTATTACTTTTTTAAACCCATTAGCACTTCAGATTGTGCATTAGAGTACTCATAAGTCCCCTTAACCATGTCGGTCTGTTTTTCCGCCAAAAGGTGAACTTAAGGGGGTACTATTACATGGAGAAAATTCTAAAATTTGTAGATATGTTGAAATTTTTGTGTAAGATTTTACCCCCAAATACACATTTTTAGCCAAATCCTTTGAAATATGGTAAAATGCGAAACATCGACCTACATTGAAAACTTTCTTCACCATAATCCAAGATGACAAATAGAGGCCAAATCGAAAATATAGCAGAACAACATAGCATGTCAAACTGAAAAAAAATCACGTGATTAAAATAAGTAAAAAAAGTTTTATCCACCTCATAATTGAGGTCAGACTGATTTCAGAATAGTCAAATATAATTACTATTTTACACCCATTACCGTAATATGGGAACTAATTTTATTTGTCATTTAAATTGTAAATTGGAGACCCCATAAAGTCCATATTTTTCATCATAGTATAATTCAATGACGATTCAACCCATATTCGGTCCCGTGCTACTTCCTTATATTTGTAATTTGTTCATGTTTTCACAATTTATTTCATATAGATGTATATCCCAAATCTACGTTCCCAACCAATATTCTCTTGGGGGTTACAAATTCAATAGAATACAAATTTTTCTTTTCTGACCACACATTAGATATGAAAGTGGACTTGGGGATACTCCAATGTGGGGACTTTACATGAATAAATTTCTATGTGGCAATTATCTGTACGATGATTCCTTACCCCAGGGTAGCATAAATACAATTTTTTAGTGGTCAAGACCAATATGGGCCCTACTCCAAAAATTTTATGCGAAGAGGTTCTCTACCCCCTTAGAAACAAAGATGCCAAATAAGGGCCAAAAATAGAAGAAAGTGGCGAAGACTCCAAAAATAACTTATATCATGCGATGGTTATTTATGATCGATATCATGACCTGCAAAAGCGATTTAAGGTATCTTAAATGTTCAGGAAGAATTTTTGGAAGGATAGAAATCCTTTTCCTACTAAAACTCCCATTCGCTCTACTATTTTGCACCCTTTATAGTTGGTATTTTACTGATTGTGCTCCCAAAGAATTTTGCATTTTGAGCTCTCATTGGATGGATTATTGTCACATGAAAGAAGTAGGTCCACGCTTTGAAATGAGCCCCATTAGTCTTTTTCGGTCATTTTTGTTTGTTTAAATGTGTTCGCATCTTCCAGCTGTATCACGATGTAGGCCCTTGAGTTGAAAGGTAGATGTCAGTTAACATCCTATTTCGCACTTATTTCATTTTTTTGGTGAAAAATTTTATATAGTGAAAAATTTTCTTTATTTTGTTCACAAAAAAATCCACTGAATTCAATATGATAATACAAATTGAAAAAAATTACAAAAGAAGAATAACAAATTGAAAAAATTTTCAACTTGTTCGCTGATTTTTTACAGCAAATGTTTAAAGACCCTTACAAAGTTTGTCAATAAAATGTACTATTATTTTAAAATTCGATTCCATTGGAAATTTTTTTTCGATATTTTCCCGTTTTGAGAATTTTTGCAATGAGATCTCTTTTTTCGTGATTTTGTTAACGATTTTGAAAATGTAATTATCTTTTAACTTTGGTGTGACCGCATTAAATTATTTCGGTATCATCTATTCCGTTTCGCCACCACATAATTCAGTACTACACTTCCATGTAACCCTCCATCAATTTCAATTCTCAAGAAATCAAGTAAATTAAATAAATTGGTATTAATATTCGAATTCAAAAATAAAATATAAAAAACACTACAAATGTACATTAGAAAAAAGTAAGTCGAAATGGAAAAAAATCATGCAAAATAAAACATTACTATTGTACATTTCAAAAGTCAAAAAAAAAAAAAAAAAAAAAAAAATATATATATATATATATATATATATATATATATATATAAATGTAAGTTGTGTTAGTTACTACGCTTATAACTTAAGAACCGCTGGACTGATTTTAAAGATCCACACAAATTCGGAGTTGTCTCCTCTCCGAAAAGGATAATATCCAAAAAAATCGCGTAAAAATGTGATATATTAACATTTTCATTTTGACTTTTCAAATGTACAATAGTAATGTTTTATTTTGCATGAATTTTTTCTATTTTGACTGGCTTTTTTCTAATGTACATTTGTAGTGTTTTTTATTTTTTATTTTTGAATTCGAATATTAAAACCAATTTATTTAATTGACTTGATTTCTTGAGAACTGAAATTGATGGCGGGTTACATGGAAGTGTAATACCGAATTATATGGTGGCGAAACGGAATAGATGATATCGAAATAATTTAACGCGGTCACACCAAAAGAAAGATAATTATTAATTAAAAGATAATTACTTTTTCAAATTCGCTAAAAAATCACGAAAAAGAGATCTCATTGCAAAAATTCTCAAATCGGGAAAAAATCGAAAAGATTTTCAGTGGAATCAAATTTTAAAAAAATAGTAAGGGTCTTTAAACATTTGCTGTAAAAAATCAGCGAACAAGTTGAAGATTTTTTCAATTTGCTATTCTTCTTTTGTCATTTTTTTTTTTTAATTTGTATTTGCGAACACATTTAAACAACCAAAAATGACAGAAAAAGCCTAATGGAGCTCATTTCAAAGCGTTGACCTACTTCTTTCATGTGACAATAATCCGTCCAATGAGAGCTCAAAATGCAAAATTCTTTGGAAGTACAATCAGTAAAATACCAAATTTAAAGGGTGCAAAATAATAGAGCGAATGGGACTTTTAGTAAGAAAAGGATTTCTATCCTACCAGGAATTCTTCCCAAACATTCAAGATACCTTAAATCACTTTTGCAGGTCATGATATCGATCATAACTCACGGATAAGGGTACAACCCGATTTTATATTTATATAACCATCATATGATTTAAGCTATTTTTGGGGTCTTGGCCACTTTTTTCATATTTTGGCCCTTATTTGGCATCTTTGTCTCTAAGGGGTTAGGGAACCATCATACAGATAATTGCCACATAGGAATTTATTTAAGTAAAGTCCCCACATTGGAGTATCCCCAAGTCCACTTTCACATATAATGTGTGGTCAGAAAAGAAAATTTTGTATTCTATTGAATTTGTAACTCTCAAGAGAATATTGGTTGGAAACGTAGATTTGGGAAATACATCTATATGATAATATGGTGGATAAAACTATTTTTACTCATTTAAATCAGGCGGAATGTTTTTCAGTTTGACATGCTATGTTGTTCTGTTAAATTTTTGATTTGGTCTCTATTTGTTATATTGGATTATAAGGGCTAGAAGAATGTTTTCAATGTAGGTCGATGTCTCGGAGTAGTGCCCATGTAAAAGTATCTCCTGATTTTACCATATTTCAAAGGATTTGGCTAAAAATGTGTATTTGGGGTGTGAAAATCTTACACAAAAATATGAACATATCTACAAATTTTAGAATTTTTTGCATATAATAGTACCGCCTTAAGTCCACTTTTTGGCGGACAAACAGACCGACATGGTTAGGGGGACTTATAAGAACGCTAATGGACAATCTGAGGTGCTAATGGCTTAAAAAAGTAATTAACTTTGGCTATTCTTAATTCATTCAGCGCTCAATTATGAGGTGTACAAAATACAGCAAATTCCAAATTACTGCTCATTTCACTGGAAGATTTTGCTACGATTTTTACCATACTAAAAATTAATTTGATCCCATGGGGATACATGGGGATAAGATTGATATATACTTTTTAATAGATTTGTATAGCACATCCACACCTTTGAAGCCCACGGCTTAAATATGGGTACAGGTATTTTAAAAGACTTTTAATCGACCAGTACGGGAACACTTATATCAGTCATATCTGTGAATAATTATGCTTTGACAAATATGCATAATAGACAAAAACTACGGGCCGGCAACGCGGACCGGGCCAGCTAGTATATATATGAATTAGTGAAAGTATACCAATAATGTCATTTCAGAAGATAATAAGCTATGAATAAACAAAAATTATATTTTACCATGTACGAACGGGCTTTTAAATTTAATTCACTTTATTTAATTTACTCGATTTATTGAAAACTCAAATTGCAGGCGGGTTACATTGAAGTGTAGTACCTAATTATGTGGTGGCGAAACTGAATAGATGATGTCGAAATAATTTAACGCGGTCAAACCTAACTTTATGGATAATTACTTTTTTAAAATCGTTAAAAAATAAAAAAAAAAACGATCTCATTGCAATAATTCTAAACTCGGGAAACAAATCGAGAAAAATCATCAATGGAATCGAATTTCAAAATAATAGCAAATTCTATTAACAAACCTCGCAAGGACCTTTAAATATTTGCTGTAAAAAACAGCGAACAAGTTGAAAATTTTTTTATTTTTCAATTTGGTGTTCTTTTATCGTCAATTTTAATTTAATGTGGATCATCATATTGAATTCAGTAGTTTTTTTTTTTATTTTTGTGAACAAATTAAAGGATTATGTTCATCATATACAAATGTTATGTTAGTTACTACGCTCATAACTCCAGAACGGCTTGACGGATTTTAACAATTCATACAATTCCGGAATTGTATCTTGGCAAAAAAAAAAATCGCGTGAAAATTTAGACGTGAATGAAAATAATCTGTGTATATTTGCTATTGCTTTGAATTCTGAACGAATAATATTAAAATTAAAATGAGTGCACAGTACAATGTTAAATGGCGATCTTTTGAAATTGGCATCCAGCTTTCACTTACACCTACATCGTGCTCCAGCTGGAAGATGCAAACACATTTTAATAAACAAACAATACCAACAAAGCGTTATGGGGCTTATATCAAAACGTGGACTTATTTTTATACTAATTTTGGAAAATGCTTGTAATTTAAGAAGAAACCATCTTTGCAAAAAAATTATCACGTTTTGGTATCACCATCATATGATTTATGGCTAAAAAATTGTATTTAGGCTACCCTGGGGTAGAGAACTTTTGTACAGATAATTGTCCACAGAGGCATTTATTTAAGAATAGTCCTCACATTAGTGTACCCCCAAGTGTGGTCAGAAAAGAAAATTTTGTATTCTATTGAATTTGTAACCCCCAAGAGAATATTGGTTGGGAACGTAAATATGGGATGTACGTCTATATGAAATAAACTCCGAAATATCAAACTGGAACTCATTCAGTCGGAAATTGTGGCAGAAGCATGAAAAAAAAAAACTACGAATATCAAAAAGTATCATGGGACCGAACATTTGTTTCATCGCCATTGAATTGGACTTTATGAAAAATATGAACTTTATGGGGTGTTTAAGTTCGAATTGCATATTGCCAAGGGTCCAGAGAGCCTACGTTCGCTTAGCACGGACCGTAGAGAGATGAGTTCTTGGGCTAAAAGGTTGCCTGCACCTCCCCTTGGAGCCTACGTTCGCTTGGTACGGACCGTAGGGAGAAAGCCTTCCTCGTCTGAAGATTTTCCCTACAACTCTCCTTGGGGCCTACGTTCGCACAGCTCGGACCGTAGGCAGCTTTTCCAAGCCGTTTCTCTACAGCTCTCTCTGGGTACTCTCTCAGCCCGTGTTGCTGTTAGAGATGTCCTGGAAGCATCGGCGCTTCCAGCCACCTCGGGGCATTGTGACTTTGTTAGCTTTTAGTTACTCTCGTTTTAACTTCGGAGCTCACCGCATCACAAAGGTAATCTGTCAACTCGGGTTGACCATTTTCCAAAATCCTCAATAAACGGATATTTATTATTTATATTTAATACTAATACACCTTGGTTTTATTTATTTTTTATCTCTTTTTTTTACTCGGTTTGTATACCTGGGAGAACTCTACATCTCAAACGGAGAGAAACATTTGGTCCTTCGAGCCGGATCTCTCATCAGTCGTTTTCCCTTTTTATCTTCTCAGGCAAACAACACACGGAACTTCATCCCCCCGCCTCACATACAGTCCGCATCCTACACACATCCATCTGCTTTCATCTTAATCACATAAACAGGTACGTGAAATCATTTTCTTAAAGTGAGCGAAAAAAAAAAAAAAATAAACGAAAAGTGTCGCGAGTGCCTGTTCAGAAATTATCGTGTTTATTTACTGGCCGTCCGTCCGTCACCCTACTATCCGCAACTTCGATAACATCTGTGTTATTTTTTTTGCACGCATGCATTGTTTGAACAAGTAGTCCTTATTAAATAGCGCTTCTCTACTTCGTGCCGATCGCCCTTTATTTTCTATTTTCGGTTATTGTTACGCTTCTGTTAGACTCTCATTGTCGCACTGCATTGGAAAAATAACAATAACAATACATCTCTATACCAATCGTTTTTTTGCATCGGTCAACTAAAACACCAAACGAAAGAAAAAAACATTGAACTCCGTTCCGTTGTTCTGAGTGCTTTCATTTACTTGTTTTTATTTTCTAATAGCAACGCAGTTAATTGCCGCTCACGCACTCACTACTACAAGCACGTCGACTACGCTGCTGACGTCGCTTGTGTTTTATTTTGTTTTGTTGGCCTTTCTTCATTTCGCCGCACAGTGGGCCGCAGGTGAAAAATTTCATAATTAATTTGTAATTAATTTTGGAAAATAACAATTTGGCATTTTTTCTAAATTTAAATATTTTGTGGATACAAACGGGATTTTTGGACATTGTGCACTCCATACCCAATCATATATATATACGCAAAATTATTTTTTTGTGTGAAATTGAAATAAAATTTAATTTTATTTAACTATTTATAAAAAAAAAAAAAAATACATATATATATACCTATATATTGTTGTTTTTGCAAATATTATTTTTTTATTTATTTTAAATTTGTTGAATTCCTCTCGATTACTACGTACCCTACGTTCGGTGAAGTCTAAATATTAGAAATAAAATTTATTATTTCTTTGAAAATTGTCTACATTTAGTGGTCCTTTTTATATTTTATTTCTTTGGCATATCAGCGGATCAATAATTTTCGAAATTAGTTAGAACAGTCTTATCGAAAATCAGAAAATATAATTGGTAGATTTATTTCTGCAATAGTTAATCCTCATTTTGACTTGTCTACTATCAAGTGTTCTTTTTTTATTTTGGAAGAAATATTTATTATTGAGTGATTTGCTTCTTTGCTCTTCTTGGTGTATGATAGTTAATCACTATGTCATTCACACCATTGGATATGTTTATAAGAGCTTCGGATGCTCTTATTAAATTTGACGCTCATTTCAGTCTGGTGCGCGAGGAGGAAACAGATGAGTTTGAGCTAGAAGTTCGTTGCTCTGAAATAGAAAAATTGTGGATCAAAGTTCAGGAAATGTTTGACAAATGTTTGGATTTTTTGATGTCGTCGGTAGACTCAAAAAAAGAGGATATAGACTCCGTTGATAGTAAATATGAGGTTTCGCATCAAACCTATATAAAATGTCTGTCAGCTATTAATCGGAGACTTTCTAAATATCGGAAACTTCAAAAATCGCCTTCTAATTCTACTGTGAATGGTTCTATAGTTTCGTTAGTTGAAACACCCCCTGCTCCAAATCTAAGCTCGTCGACTCAGGCTTCTAGGGATATCGGGACCCAGGTTGAGACAATTGTTTCCGAAGTCGGCTCAGTTCATAGCGCTATAAATAACTTATCCGGTTGGGTTCCTTCCGATAATGTTCACAATCTGGCACTTCCTCCTTGTGATATAGAAGTTTTTAAAGGAGATTTTCTTTCGTGGCCTACTTTTCGGGACTTGTTTACCACGGTTTATATAAACAACGCCCGATTAAGCGATATTGAGAAACTGTGCCATTTAGTGCAGAAAACGTCCGGCGAAGCTAGGGAAATAGTAAACAAATTTCCACTTACTCACCGCAGTTTCATTTTAGCTTGGACCGCTTTAAAGAATACTTATGACAATAAAAGAATCATTGTGAATACTCATCTTAAGAAATTGTTTGACCTTCCAGTGTTAGATAGAGAAACTAGCACCAATCTGAAAATTCTTCAACGGGGCCTAAACGCTTGTTTGTCGGCTATGGCCGTGTACGACATTCCAACGGATCAATGGGATCCTATTTTAGTTTTTTTGTGTATTCAACGTTTGCCTAGGTTAACGGTAACTTTGTGGGAGCAAAGTATACGCGATAAATCGGCACTATCTTTGTGGATAGATTTAGATTCATTTCTGACAGAGAGAATTCAGACCCTAGAATGTTTACGTGATATTAAGGGAGCTGAATCCAGTCAAAAAAAGGTTCAGTCACACTTTACCAATGCTTCGCTTAACCTAAATTCAAAATCCACTTCGGAATTCTTTTGTTCCCTCTGCCCTAGACAAAATCATTCTCTTCGGGCATGCCCTAAATTCAGGAAATTGTCTATAGGTAAGAAATTGTCTGTTGTCAAAACACAGGGATGTTGTTGGAATTGTCTGTCTCGAGGACATTCAGTTAAAGAGTGCCAAAGTTCTAATCGGTGTAGTATTTGCAAAGGCACTCATCATTCTTTGATTCATCGACCAAGCAGTGATACTCGGGTATCAACTGGCTTATCCACCTCATCTTCATCTTCCGTTGTTGTCGCCTCAGATTCAAATGTCGCATCCACCTCGACTGGTGCTCACCCTACTGTAGCAAATGCGCAAGTTTTTCACACTTCGCAGAGTAGAAATGTTTTACTGGGCACCGCTATGGTTAACATCCTTCATCAGGGGTCTTCGTTTCCAGCTCGTGCTTTAATTGATCCCGGGTCTGAGGCTTCTTTTATTACTAATCGGTTACAACAACAACTAAAACTACCAGTACGATCGGTAGTTGCTACGGTTTCGGGTGTCAACGGTTCTGTCTCCGCTACATCTAGGAAAAGTTGTTCACTTTGTCTTGGATCTCGCCACCATTCTTCGGTTCAGATTGATGCGGTCGCTTTCGTTCTTCCTCAGATTTCCGAAAACTTGCCATCATTTGTTATTCGGTCCGATCTCTTTGATAAGTTGCCCCAGTTACCCCTAGCAGACTCTCACTTGTTTGATAGTCGGTCCGTAGATTTGTTAATCGGTGCGGATTTATATCCCCAAATCGTGCTACAGGGTACCCATCAAAAGGTGCTAGGTTCGCTATTAGCCCAAAATACTGTATTTGGTTGGATCTTGACGGGTCCACTGTTCACCTCCTCGATGCAAGTTTTCAATACTAGGCTGCATTACCCGGAAGAGGAAAATCTCAACCAATTATTGCTTCGTTTTTGGGAATTAGAAGAAACACCCAAACGAAAATTTTTCTCTCCCTCTGATAGATTTTGTGAAGAGAATTATCGCGCCACTACGGTTAGAAATTCAGAAGGTCGGTATGTTGTTTCGCTTCCTTTTAAATCTGATTACCCTCATACAGTGCAACTCGGCACTTCTCGACAAAATGTTCTACAACAATTTTGTCGGAACGAGAGTTCACTTCTTCGCAAACCCTCCATTAAAGACCTTTATGATAGCGTGGTTCGGGAGTACCTTACTTTGAAGCATATGCGCCTAGTCCGTCCAGCTTTTGAATCCAGTTCCGTTTGTTATTTACCTCACCACCCTGTCATTAATTTCGAGAAAAAAACTTCCAAATTAAGGGTCGTTTTTAATGCTTCGAATAAGACTTCCAACGGAATAAGTCTTAATGATATTCTCCACGTAGGACCGACTTTGCAAGAAGACTTAGTTATGTTGATTTTACGGTGGCGAATATTTAAATTCGTGTTTAACTGTGATATTACGCAGATGTACAGGCAAATTCTGGTCGACCCAAAGCATACTCCTTTTCAACGTATTCTTTTTAGAGAGTCCCCTTCACACCAAATCCAAGATTATGAATTGCAAACGGTAACCTTTGGGGTTAATTGTGCGCCCTTCTTAGCTATTCGCACTTTGCATCAACTGGCAGAAGACACCAAAAAAGAGTTTCCCTTGGCTTCACATATTTTGAGAAAATGCATGTATGTTGATGACGTTCTCGCCGGTGCTCACGATATTAGTTCCGCTCGTCAATCCCGCGATCAGCTTATCAATGCTCTGTCAACGGCCAAATTTGAATTGCGTAAATGGACTTCCAACCATAAATTATTGCTAGATAGATTTTCTAAAGAGGAACTAGTTGATGCTGAAGTATTATCATTTGTGGAATCTAGTACTTCTAAACCATTGGGAATACGATGGAATGCGCGCTTAGACTCGTTTTACTTCTGTGTAGACCCAATTGTACAAAAAGAACACTATTCTAAGCGGGAAGTCTTATCCACTATTGCCAAACTTTTTGACCCAGTTGGTTGGTTGTCTCCCGTAATAGTGGTCGCCAAAATGATCATGCAAAGGGTTTGGATAGATCGTATAGACTGGGACGAATCTTTAATGGAGCCGACAAAAACGGCATGGGAAAATTTTGTGGAGAATTACACAGGTGTTAATGTTATTCGTATTCCACGTTGGGTTCATTATTGTGTCGGCGATCGTGTAGAACTTCATGTTTTCTCTGATGCGTCGGAAAAGGCCTACGCAGGCGTCGTTTATATTCGAACTATATCCTCGTCTGGTACTATTCACGTGAACCTTTTATCCTCAAAGACTAAAGTGGCCCCGCTAAAATCAACTTCTCTACCACGCTTAGAGTTATGTGGTGCAGTCCTTGCTTCAGATCTGCTCAAGTCTTTGGTTGAGGAAATTGGTATCTCGACTGATTTGGTATATTGCTGGTCCGATTCTACAATAGTCCTTTCATGGTTGCGGAAGCCTCCTTCGACATGGGCTACCTTCGTTGCTAATAGAGTTGCTAGAATTCAAGAAAATAGACACATTTCTGGTTGGTATCATGTAAGATCGGAGGACAATCCCGCGGATTTAGGTAGTCGCGGTGTTTCCCCCCTAGAAATGTCGACGTCGTCATTGTGGTGGCATGGTCCACATTGGTTATCTTTGGATTCATCTTGTTGGAACGTATCCGATTGCAATTCCTTTGATACTGACCTAGAAATGCGAGGCGTGCGGACCCATTTTTCTTTTTTCTCAGAATATGAGGAGCTTCTCGAAAGGTTTAGTTCTCTCGATAAAGCTCTGCGTGTTTTATCATATGTGCTCCGTTTCGTTAACAATACACATCCAAGACGAAAGTTACTACATCACTACTCGACTACAGTTCTGAACCCACAAGAAATTAAATTTGTCAAGACCCGTCTTGCAATTATAGCCCAAAAGGTTCACTACGGAGAAGAATATAAGTGTTTATTGCATAAACACGCGCTACCAAGCTCTAGCTCGCTTCTTCCCCTTAACCCTATTCTCGATTCTGAGGGTGCGATGCGACTTAACGGACGCTTAGTGAAATCACCTAGTTTATCATACAGTGAGAGGTTCCCGATAATTTTGCCTTATGCCAGTCGCTTTACTCACCTTCTTGTTGATTACATACATTTGCTTTCCATTCATGGGGGAAATCAGTTAATGTTACGTATCATTCGCATTGAATATTGGGTTCCTCGGATAAAAACCTTGATTCGAACGGTAATTCGAAAATGCAATACGTGTATTTTAGAAAAGAAGCGCTGCGCACAACAGATCATGGCTGCGTTGCCCCCAGAACGCACCATAATTTCCAGACCTTTTACGACAACCGGTCTAGACTTTGCCGGCCCCTTTGAAATAAAGTCATTTACGAGTCGGGCCTGTAGAATCACCAAGGGATACGTTTGTGTGTTTGTGTGTTTCTCCACTAAAGCTGTCCACCTGGAAGCGGTATCAGATTTGTCGACGGAATCTTTCTTAGCCGCATTTCATAGGTTTGTCTCTCGTCGTGGTTGTCCTAATACCCTATTCTCAGACAATGGTACGAACTTTGTTGGTGCTTCCCGAGCATTAGAAAAGGACTTTAAGACTTTTATTAAAGAAAATCGGGAACTATTAAGTACTTCAAGTGAATATCAAGAAATCTCATGGCAGTTTATACCAGCTGGCGCTCCACATATGGGAGGACTTTGGGAGTCGGCTGTGAAAAGTTTCAAATTGCATTTTCGCCGGTATGCGAAACAATTGCGGTTTACATTTGAAGAGCTGAGTACTGTACTAGCTCGTATTGAGGCGTGTCTTAATTCTCGTCTGCTATGTCCAATATCTGAAAACCCCGAAGACATTGTTGCTCTAACACCCGGTCATTTTCTTATAGGCGCTCCTCTTCTTTCTCCCCCCGAACCGGCCATAAATGAAGCGCCCCTTAGTCTCGTTAATCGCTTTCGTCGAATTAAGGCTTTAACTCAACAGTTTTGTATTAGGTGGCGGAACGAATATTTACATAGTCTGCACAAGCGTTATAAATGGAAGTTTCCGCAACGTAATATCGAAGTCAATGATTTGGTTGTTATTCGCCAGGAGCAACTCCCCCCAACGGCTTGGAGGTTAGGGCGAATAGTACAGGTTCATCCCGGCGATGATGGAATGGTTCGCGTAGTTGACGTCAAGACAGCACAAGGGGTGGTGCGGAGGCCAGTAACTAAATTAGTAGTACTCCAAAACTAACTTACTCCTCCTTTTCGTCATACATGTTGTTTTGCTTAGCTATGGAACCTGCAAGCCCCCTTTTTCCGGAAGTAATCTTGTCAGACTTCGACTACACTGACACCCCAATGACGGACGAGGAGCGGATGGATACAGTCAGCGTATGCTCGGAGCGACCTCCGTCGGTGACAATTTACCCAGCTGTACCGGTCGTTACCAACTCCCCGATTGCGGCTAATGCCCCCACGAATGTTGCCGTGAGTTCGACCCCGTCCTCCACATCCAGTAATCTAGCAGGATTGGTGCGACCTGTTCCTGGTTCGATACCCCGAAGATGCCCATTATGCCCAAGTCACCATGCCTTGTATCGCTGCCCGACGTTTAGGGCAATGAGTTTTGAGAGACGGATGAGAACAGTGGTCTCGCTAGGGCATTGCGTCAATTGCCTGATGATGGGGCATCATGCGAGAACCTGCCAGAGCGCTTCACGATGCGCACAGTGTCAGCAGAAGCACCATTCCACACTGCATTCGCGGGTCCGACGTAACCACCGCCAACACCAATCCCGTCGGAATGTAGCGCAAACAACAGTCGCTAGTCGAAACATGGTACCGGTTTCTACACCTCGTCACCCATCTTTTTCACCGGTCATAGCTTCGGCGGCAGCACTGCCAATTAGTCGGGTAGTCGCTCTTTCCCCTACTTTGGTAGTTCGGGTAATACTGCCACAAGCAACTATACCGGTCCGAGCGTTATTGGACCCTTGCTGCCGGATAAGCCACGTTTGTGAGAGCTTAGTACGTAGCTTCCGCTTGCCTCTTACCTTCCTAAATGAAGAAGTTTATTGTGATTTGGCAATTGGTTCGCGGTTCGATGAAAGTGTTATAAAGCACATCACTCCTCGAGTTGCCAAATTAGAACGAGGAAAAACTCCCACTGTTTCCGTCTCTTCCGCAATTAGGGAATCTTTCGCGGGCCTTGAGTTGGCGGACCCAACCTTTTTCCAGTCTGGCGCCATTGCATTAGTCTTAGGTCCCGAAGTTTACGCACAGATCGTGTCATCTCGTATTTTGTCGCAACCAGGTTTGCCTACGGCACAATACACAATATTTGGTTGGATCATTTCGGGCACCACATCCCGCTAAAGAACATTTGCTGCTATTTTTGTTTTGAATTAAATTGAATAAATAAACATACTGAATTACGCTCACTAGAATTTGATTTCACGTCATTTAGCCTTAAGATACTCCTTATCATTCATTGATACTTATATTATTAATATTATTACGCTCCATTGAACTTAATGATTTCTATTACTGATTGATATATATTGTTGATTGTAACATTGTCCAATGTTTCAAGGTGGGCGGCAATGTTTAAGTTCGAATTGCATATTGCCAAGGGTCCAGAGAGCCTACGTTCGCTTAGCACGGACCGTAGAGAGATGAGTTCTTGGGCTAAAAGGTTGCCTGCACCTCCCCTTGGAGCCTACGTTCGCTTGGTACGGACCGTAGGGAGAAAGCCTTCCTCGTCTGAAGATTTTCCCTACAACTCTCCTTGGGGCCTACGTTCGCACAGCTCGGACCGTAGGCAGCTTTTCCAAGCCGTTTCTCTACAGCTCTCTCTGGGTACTCTCTCAGCCCGTGTTGCTGTTAGAGATGTCCTGGAAGCATCGGCGCTTCCAGCCACCTCGGGGCATTGTGACTTTGTTAGCTTTTAGTTACTCTCGTTTTAACTTCGGAGCTCACCGCATCACAAAGGTAATCTGTCAACTCGGGTTGACCATTTTCCAAAATCCTCAATAAACGGATATTTATTATTTATATTTAATACTAATACACCTTGGTTTTATTTATTTTTTATCTCTTTTTTTACTCGGTTTGTATACCTGGGAGAACTCTACATCTCAAACGGAGAGAAACATGGGGTATCCAACGCGCAATTTAAATGACAAAAAATTAATTCCCATCTTACGGTAATAGGTGTCAAAGAGTAATTATATATGACTATTCTGAAATCATTCCACCCTTATAAGCTGGACAAAACTAAATAACACACAACACGGTATTCTAAACGTTGGAAATACAAACTCCAAATTGCAGCTCATTTGAATAGAAAATATTGCAAAGTTCTTTACAATACCAAAAATTGAGCTGGGTTTTCAACTTGGGCTATTATACCCGAATATAGCCATTATATTGGGGTCTATACAACGTGGACCTACATAGGCATTGTTTGTCATAAGCCATTACCATATTATAAACGGGTATACTATAGCTTCTTCAAAGTACCGTATACAGGGAGGTACCGTTATATCGGAGTAATACGAAGACCTGGACCTGCATAGACAATTTTCTTTGACATGCTGTAGCATTCATTACGAACTTCAACTACGACATCTCAAACAATTTCGGTGAGTATTGTACCTAAAATCGTCAAAATACCGAATATAGGAAGGTACTGATATATGGAGCCTGTACGAAGACCTGGACCTGCATAAAAAATTTTGTGTCCCAGACTGTCCTTATTACGAACTCTAAATACGTAATTTGAAACTAATCCGGTGGATAATGACGCTAAAATCATCAAAATATCAAATGTTGGGAGGTACCGTTATAGGGGGGCTATGCGAAGACGTGGACCTGCATAGGCAATGTTCTGTCATAACCTGTAGTATCCATTACGAACTTCAAATGCTAAATTTGAAACAATTCCGGGGAATAATGTCGCGAAATCATCAACATACCGAATATAGGGAGGTACCGTTATATGGGGGCTTTAGTATCCATTTCGAACTTCAAATATCAAATTTGAAACAATTCCGGTGAATAATGTCGCTAAAATCATAAAAATACCGCATACCGAAAGGTACCGTTATTGGGGGGATATATGTAAACGTGGACCTGCATGACCCATTTACGAACTTAACTGCCTACTGGCAAAACACATGTTTAGGTAAATTTTAGCCTTCTATCTCAATTCGTTCGTGATTACAACAGAAAGACAGACGGACGGACATCGCTAAATCGACTTAGAACTTTACGCTGATCAATAATATTTGTTGGGTCTGACATGAGTATTTCGAGGAGTTACAAACGGAATGACATAGTTAATATACCCTCCATGGAATGTTGGAGGGTATTAAAATTAAAGACTAAAAGTACGGGCCGGCAACGCGGACCGGGCCAGCTAGTATATATATCTATATCTATAAAAGAGGAAAATGTTTGTATGTTTGTTTGTTTGTTTGTTTGTTTGTAATTTATGGACTCGACAACCGGTGAACAGATTTTACTGAAAATTTGCAGGTATACTGCAACATCGCCTGAAAGTAACATAGGCTACATACGTTTTTGAAATTCCACTTGGAAGTGGAGATATAGCTTCAGAATCGGAGGTACCTCCCAAAAATTTAGATTTTGTATGCACATATCTATTGATCCATTACAGACAGTCTCCAAATTTGGAATGCGTAACGGAATTTGGAACAAAAATAAATTTGCCAAATTATATTGAAATCGGTTCAGATTTGGATATAGCTCCCATATATATTTTCGGCCGATTTCAAGCATTTGATGCGCCAAACACGCTACGTATCCCAAATTTCAATGAAATTTGAAACGTGTGATGGATTTTATCTAAAAAAGTGATTTCCCAAATTATATTGAAATCGGTTCAGATTTGGATATAGCTTCCATATATATTTTCGACTGATTTCCTTCATTTGATGCCTCAAACACGATATGAATGTTCGATTCCAATGAAATTTGGAATGTTTAACGGGATTTGATCCGAAAATAAATTTATCAAATTATATTGAAATCGGTTCAGATTTGGATATAGCTCCCATATACATTTTCGGTCGATTTCATGTATTTGGTGCACCAAACACGATATGTATGTCAAATTTTAATGAAATTTAAAATAAGTAACGAAATTTGGAGCAAAAATGAATTTGTCAACTTATATTGAAATCGGTTCAGATTTGGATATATATCCCATATATATTTTCGACCGATTTCATGTATTTGATGCACCAAACACGCAATGTATCTCTAATTTCAATGAAATTTGGAATGTGTAGCGGAAATTAAAACGAATATACATTCGTCAAATTATATTGAAATCGGTTCAGATTTGGATATAGCACCCATATATATCTTCAATCGATTTCGTTTATTTGATGCACCAAACACGATATGTATGTTCGATTCCAATGAAATTGGGAATGTGTGACGGGATTTTGATTAGAAAATAAATTATTCAAATTATATTAAAATTGGTTCTGATTTGGATATAGCTCTCATATATATTTTCGACCGATTTCATGTATTTTATGCACCATACACGATATGTATGTTCGATTCTAAAAAAATTTGGAATATGTGACGGGATTTTGATTAGAAAATAAATTAGTCAAATTATATTAAAATCGGTTCAGATTTGGATATAGCTCCCATATATTTTTTCTGCCGATTTTACATATTTGATGCACAAAACACCATACGTATTTCGAATTCCAATGAAATTCGCCATGAGTGACTAAATTTGGTACAAAAATAAATCTGACAAATTGTTTTCAAATTCGCTCAGATTTGATTATAGCTCCCATATATATTCTCGGCCGATTTCACATATTTGATGCATCCAAAGCGAGAGAGACGAAATCTGGCACCAGAAAAAAATTGCCAAATTATATTGAAATCGGTTGAGGTTTGGGTATAGCTAACATATATATTTCGGCCGACTTCATATATGTTATGCACCAAACCCGATATATATGACCGATTCCAATGAAATTCAGAATGTGTGGCGGAATTTGGTTACAATAATAAATGTGATAGATTAATTGGAAATTAGTTAAGATTTGGATATAGCTCCCATATATATATTCTCAGCCGATTTCACATATTTGACGCACCAATTTCAATGAAATATGAAAGTTGTGGCGGAATTTGGTGCAAAAGTAATTTTTTTAAAATTATATTTAAATCGGATCAGATTGATATGATTTTAATAAAAACCATTGACCCACAACGTCTTAGGCTAACACTAAAAAACAACACAACAATTAATTTGAAATACGCTTATTACGGGGAAGTATATTGCTACCTCGAATTCACTAATTGCAATAGAAATGCCACTCATCTTCAAAAAATTACAGTTTCCTGCACGCTTGGTATTTGCTATGAAATAAACAAATCCAAAGGAAAAAACCCTTCGTGTATGCATGTCATGTTACTGCGTTTCGAATGGTTTTGTTTATTAACGCATTAAAGTAGTGCAATATTTTTTTTTAATTTTTAAATTTGTTGTTTTTTGTCCAACATATATTCGTAAATACAATTTTGAATGCATATAAAATAAAAAGGGGTAGCGAAGCGCACCGGGTTCAGCTAGTCTATATCTATAAAAGAGGAAAATGTTTGTATGTTTGTTTGTTTGTTTGTTTGTAATTTATGGACTCGAAAACCGCTGAATAGATTTTCCTGCAAAATTTCCATATATACTGCAACATCGCCTGAAAGTAACATAGGCTATATACATTTTTGAATTTCCACTTGGAACTGGAGATATAGTATCAGAATCGGAGGCACCTCCCAAAAATTTAGATTTTATATGCACATATCTATTGAATGGTTGAAGATACAGTCTCCAAATTTGGAACACGTAACGGAATTTGGAACAAAAATAAGTTTGCCAAATTATATTGTAATCGGTTCAGATTTGGATATAGCTCCCATATATATTTTCGACCGATTTCGTTCATTTGATGCCTCAAACACAATATGAATGTTCGATTCCAATGAAATTTGGAATGTGTGACGGGATTTAATCCGAAAATAAATTTGTCAAATTATATTGAAATCGGTTCAGATTTGGATATAGCTCCCATATACATTTTCGGCCGATTTCATGTATTTGGTGGACCAAACACGACATGTATTTCCAATTATAATGAAATTTAAAATAAGTAACGGAATTGAGAGCCAAAATGAATTTGTCAAATTAAATTGAAATCGGTTCAGATTTGGATATATTATTATTATGATGTATATAATATATACTTTTTTTATTATTAAATAGACAATGTTTTTAATAAACCGTCTGTCGTATCTGATTACAAGTTAATTTATGTTTATACTGAGTTGTATTCAAATATTAGAAATTCTCTATAATTTAAACATATTTTTAAATATATGATCAGCTGCCTCCAATAATGTGCTTCACGACCATCCAGAATGTTAATCACATCTTCTTCGGATAGTATTGCGGATTGGAAAAAACTCGTCCTAAATTCTGCCAGGATAGGGCACTCTCCAATGAAATGCTGCAATGATTCATCACGAATCAGATTACATAACGTACATTTACGTTCTGCATTTTCAGTGTTAAATCTGGTTGCATTCAAATTGATAAGTCCACATCGTGCTTTAAAGATCCATGAAATTTGATCGCTAGTAAAAGAGTCAGTAAAGTACATTTCTCCCATTCTATAGTCTAAATGTTTATAAATTCTATCCTGGCTTTGTTGTTTTAGCCTCAAGTTTTCCAGTAATAAATATGTTTTTTCTTTACCAATAATGCATTTGCTAAATAATGTCCATTTATCTTCATTTGCGGTATTTGGCCATTGAACGTTTAACCGATGAGCCATACATAATTTTCTACCCAGAATCCTTCTTTTTCTAGCAATATATTGGTTAATATTTTCGGTAATCGATGTTCTTGGTATTTGTACAATACTTGATGTATATACTTTAGATTTAGTTTGAGTGTATATAAGTGACAATTTTCGACATTGGTCTCAAGCATAAGAGCGTAGTTAGGTGTAAAACTCAGT